GTAGAACCTAGATGTTTTCTTTTCACCTACTTATGTATCCTGTTTATTTACCAGAAGCTCAGTTCTAGTTGTTTTTAACCAAATACCTGTGGAGGACATGCTTGTTGTAATGCTGCTGCTGCTAAACTGATTCAACCACAAATTAACCAAAACCATGATTCTAACAGAGTATTGGACTAGTACTCCAGGAGCCCAGAATTCAAATCGCTGTTGAGCCTTGGGAAGAAAAAAAAAAGTGGCCTTGGCCAAGTCACACTCTATCAGCCAAAGAGAAAGACTATGATTCTTGCCAGGAAAAGCCCATGATAGGGTACTTTTAAGCCAGAGCCAACTTGAAGGTACATAATAATAACAGAAGAGGACTAGAAGAGAAAAGGATGGTCAAGCTGCTCCTGACCCTGCTGTGCATTACACACACACACACATATAGAGGGCACATGTTCATGTTAGATGCTTCCAACATCACACTAATAATTTCCCTTGATCTAAATCAGAGGGATGAAAGCTCTGGTCTTCCTAAGTGTTGCTGAACTGCTATTCCCATCATTCTTGCTACAGTTGCTGGGGAAAGCAGTTGACAGTTCTTAGAAGGATTCCCCAACCCTGATCAAACCAGGATCATTTATTAAGGGAAGGATGATGATCATGATTCCCATTGGCTACTAAGATCTGCACCTTTAAATAGATTGATACAGGCCTAAAGGGCTTTTATTACTGAATTGGGAAATTTAAAAAATAGATGTTCAAGGTTTGAACTCTCTACCCTAAAAGTAGATGTGCATTCAATTCCATATTTTAGGCTGTTTGATAGAACTTTCCTAAATCATAATGATTTCTGGAGAAAATGTATAAAGAAAACAGACAAGGGAATCTCCCTCCCTCCCTCTCTGTCTCTCTCTTGTCCAGCAAAATTGCTTAGTGAATTGACAATTAAATTCTGGACAGAGAACAGAAAATGACTCAGAACAACCCACATGGAGTGAACTGTCCTTCAAGTATATGGTGATAACCACTGTCTTTGACAATCTCCAGAACCAGTGGTGCTTGCCCTGGGCCAATCCATGCCTCAGGAGGGTGTTGTTGTTGATTATTGTAACTAAACAGAGCTTCCACGTTCAGATGCAGTTACCTCTGTAGCCCAAATACTGAGGATGAACAGTGAAAAGGAAACTGGAAAAGAGGCTTGTGGATTTCTTAGAAGCCTCTGAATGGCCTGCATAGGAAGCCCTTTGCTGAGGAATCACCTGCCTAATAGTATGGGGTGCTCTTCCACGCTATTTGTGGTGCTTTACCAAAACTGAATTGGGCCCCTCTAGTAGGAAAGGGGGCACATTTTAGGCTATTAGAGACTGCCAGAAATAATGCAGCTTGAGGCCACTTTAACTGTCCTGGCTCAGTGCTAAAGAATCATGGGAACCGTAGTTTATTATGGCACCAGAGATCTCTGACAGAGAAGGCTCAATGTTTCAGAAAAACCTACAGTTCCCATGATTCCCTAGCACTGAGCCAGAGCCTCAAGCTGCATTATTTCTGGCAGTCTCTCCCCACCTCCCATGTATACCTTTTATCATTTTCATTCAGCAAGGTCGACTGAAAATTTCTTGGACATGATTCATAGGAAGGATCTGTTCTTGGAAAGCAGTAGGGCGCAGATGAACCCTAAAAGATAGACGGGTGTGTCACGTCTTCACATCCCATGCCACAAAGAAAAGAAAAAGGCATCTATGAACCAATGGATCTGTCCGCCAGGGCTGGGTAGGAAAATATCAAGGAAATTGGAATACAGGCGCGCAAAACATTGAAGCAGTTTAGCAAGGCTATCAGAGAGACCCAAAAGCATCCGCCTCTCTCCAGTAGAACCCTCTTAATCCAGATTAAATTCGGATTAGCTTCAAGGCGCCTCTTGGTCCCAGTGTCCATCCACGGAACCAAAGTTCTCAGAGTGAAAGACCGGTTTAAAAAGAAGCGCAAGGGACCCGTTGTTCTGTCCCTAAATGTAAACGCGATACTGCGACGTTCTGCTGCTTCAATCTGGAAACTCTCGAATCGCCTTTCGGGGAAGGGTGCCTCCGCACTGCAGGAACAATCCGGTTTGACCCCACTTTGACTGCCCTGGCTCAACCCTATGGAATTCTGGGAACTGTAATTTATTGGGGCATCAGAGAGGAGCTCTCTTTTCTCCGGATATCTAAACTCCATTTCCAAAAGTGCAACTGAAGTTTAAGTTAACTGCAAGCTCTAGAAACGTGGGGGCTTACCGACAATTCCATTGGGGTGGATAGAATTTTTAATCGAGGTTCTTCAGTGCTGACATTTTTGCCTCTCCCTGTAGCTATTCCTTGGCTTCTTGGCCTGTGCACCCTTCAGACAAACGCTAATGCTTTAGAAGAAAACGGGTGCTGCATCCGCACTACAGAAATAATGCAGGTTGACGCGGTTTTAATTATCAGGGGACCATCCTATGGAATTCTGGGATTTGTAGCTTGTTGTTGCACCAGCACTCTTTGACAGAGAAGACTAAATATCTCTCAAAACCACAGTTCCCAAAATTCCATAGAATTGAGCCATGGCAGTTAAAGTGGTGTCAAGCGGCATTAATTCTGAGGAGTAGATTCAGCTTTACTCTTCAGTGCTAGGAAGATTTAACGGAGCGGCGCGTAGGCCCCATGCATTGACCATCATGGGGCTTCCTTCTGAATACACCTATATTTTGTTATAAAGCGGGCCCCAAACCGGTCCCAAGTAAATTGCGTTCCGCTAGGAGTCCATCCGCATTGCAAAAATAGCCCGGTTTGACAACGCTTTAACTGCCATGGCTCACTGCTAGGGAATTGTAGCGATGGTGCCACGGGAAACTACAATTCCAGGAGTTCCATAGCACTGAGCCCTGGCAGTTGAAGCGGCGTCAGACCGGATTATTTCTGCATGTGGATGCAGCCCTCGCGGGAGGAAGCAGAGGAAAAAATTCTCTTGTTTTGCCACTCCATCCGAGAGAGAATCTCCTTAAGCTTCCTTTCTCTCTTCCCCTCTCCTTTCTTTTTTTTTTTTTAAAGGAAATGCCAAATAAAAAATAATAGAGAAGTTTACTGGAGGGAGGGAGAAGGAAGACTGAACTTATTAAAACCAGGAGAAAAGAACATGTTTATTGTCCGGCTGCCGCAGGGTTTACAAGGGGAAGCCCTTTGTGGATGGGGCCCTTTGTGGATGGCTTCAGAAAGGAGCAGCCAAGAAGGAAAGGAAGGGGCAGCCAGGGGCCTCAGTCCAAGATCTCTTCTGCGCCGGAGTCAGACCTTCCAGCCCCCGGTTCGTTTGCTCTCCCTCCGCATTTGCACAGTGACGGCCATCCTCGCATTTCTTCAGGACTTGGACGGCAAGGGATCTCGCGTTTGTTCGCAGGCAGGGCTCCCACAACCACTGAGGCTTCCAGGCTTTGCGTGTTGCGTAGTCCTGGTTGTTGTTCCCTTTCAATTGAAACGAATCACAACAGCCCACGGCAAAGGATGTTCTCACCTCTCTCCCCCCCCCCCCCCCCCCCCCCGAAAAACAACAACATCATGATCATGATCATCATCATCATCGTGGTGGTGATGATGATGATGATGATGATAAGGCCAGTGTGGTGTAGTGGTTTGTTAGTGGATACCCGGATTCGAATCCGCGCTCGGCTATGGAGACGCACTGGGTAACCTTCGGCAGGTCACACTCTCTCAGCCTCAGAGGATGGCGAGGACAACCCCCTTCTGAAGAAACATGCCACGAAAACCCCGTGATAGGGTCGCCTTAGGGTTGCCAACTGTCGGGAAAGACTTGAAGACTCACAACAACAACAATAACCACCATCATCATCTATGGATACGATCCTGCCCACATTGGAGTGCTCTGTAACCCGAAGCGAAGCTAATTTTGGGGGAAGTTGTTATTCTCTTTGCTAAATTGAATCGCTCTTTCTCTCCAGTCAATATGCGCGCCCTGGTGAAGGACTAGGCTTGCCAGAGTGAAAACTCTTCCTTAAAGGTTGTGTAGAGAGCATTTCAGCAGGCATGGCTTGTCCTGCAACCAGGTCACAAGCACCACTTGCTGAAACTCCCTTTCCTACGCAATCATTCGAGGTCCAGGAGCCCTCTCTGGTTTTCACTTTGGCAACCCAACGAAAAGCCCGCAGAGAGGTGGCCAGATTGAAGCCATGCCTCCTCCATCGCTCCCATTGGAATCGACGAAAATGTCACTCAGTTTTGGCTGAATTCGCAAAACCGGGGTTGGAAAGAGAAAGAGGCCAATTTCTAGTACTTTTCTTCTTTAATCATTCTTCCCCTTCCTTTAGTCCTTAAGTGCTGGATAAATAACGCTGGATGAAGATAAATCGCAGCAGCAGCATTGTCTCCGTAGATTCTCAGGTAGAGAGTGAAGATTCGCCGCTTAGCCTGGCCTACCTTACAAGACGGTTGTAAAGATGGCCGAGTTAAGGAAGCGCAGCCGGCCCCCAAGCTGATGCCTTCTAGATGTTTTAGAGTATAACTCCCAGCACTGGGGCTGATGGGGGTTTGAGTCCAACAACTGGTGAAGAAAAAGACCAGAAGTTCCAATCTTTTTCCGCAGTCCTTTGTGGTACCTGCTCCAGGGGTTGATTCCAAATTTGGTCACACAAGTACTTTTTTGTTGTTGTTGGGCCTAAGCAGACTGCCAGAAATAGTGCACATTAAATTGAGGCACTGCCCTGGCTCAGTGCTAGGGAATCATGGGAATTGTATTTTTTTCTGAGACATTGAGCCTTCTCTGTCAGAGAGCTCTGGTGCCACAATAAATTACAGTTCCCATGATTCCCTAGCACTGAGCCAGGGCAGTGCCTCAATTTAATGTGCACTATTTCTGGCAGTCTGCTTAGGCCCGTTGTTGCCTTTTCCGATTCACGGTGACCCAAAGGAGAACCTATCATGGGGTTTTCTTGGCAAGATTTGCTCAGAGGGGTTTTGCCTTTGCCTTCCTCTGAGGCTGAGAGAGTGTGACTGAGCGGGGATTCGAACCCTGGATTCCAAAGTCACAAGCCAACACTCAAACCACTGCACCATGCTGCCTCCATACATAGTGGTAACCTACTGAAATCAATGGGGGTCAAGGGATGCAGGATTAGCTTCTATCTAAACAAAACGTGGCCTCGCGGTCGACTCGAGGTTAACTGACAACAAGGGACTTATAACCAAGCAATTTGCAAACCCAATTTATTGATTTGTTCCTCTTTCTTTCTTTTGACACAAGCTGCATCCTCACTGCAGAAATAATCCAGTTTGACAGCGCTTTAAGTGCCCTGGCTCAATGCTATGGAAACCTGCCAATTGTAGTTTGTTTTGGCACCAAAAATCTGACAGAGAAGGATAAATATTTCACAAAACGACAGTTCCCAGAGTTCCATAGCATTGAGCCAGAGCGCTTAAAGCGCTTTCAAACTGGATTATTTCTGCAGGGCAGATGCACTCACCGACACACGCGTCCCATTATCAAATGGGGCAAATTCCGAAGCGTTTCACTTCAGATCATGCCTTTCATCACCTTTCAACAGAATTCCTCAAAGGCCAGTGAAGGAGAGGGGAGAAGAGAGAACCCGTGTGGAACTGAATGTGGAAAGGCCCTCTTGGAGGTATGCGTGTTGGAGGGGGGGAATAATCCAGTTTGACTTCACTTGAACTGCCATGGCTCAATGTTAAGAAATTTGGGGATTTGTAGATTTGTGAAGCATGAAGCCTTCTCCGTCAGAGCGCTCTGGTGCCCCAACAAACTACAATTCCCAGAATCCCCTAGCATAGAGCCGTGGCAGTTAAAGCGGTGTCGAACTGGATTATTTCTGCAGTGCGGCTGCAACCAAAAGAGAGAAAGGCCCGGTTGCCTTTGTTTTCCCTCCTAGAGCCGACAGAGGGCGCTGCGAGCCTAGCCAAGGAACTGCTGGGAGTTTTCTGCGCTCCGCTTCTCCTTTTCGCCAAAGAATCCGAACCAGACAAAAAGAGACGCACCCAAGTCGGGGGTTAGGGTGCTTTTCCTGTCCCTCTCCCCAACTCTTTCCCCTGGATCCGAAGAAGCTCTTCCGCTTCCTCCCTCCTTTCCGAAACACCCTGCCGGGAGGGGGATGAACCTTTCAATGCAGCCGCCCAGCCCCTTCCCTTTTAGGGCGCCGATTTGGGGGGCTCTCCAAGAGAAAACCCAGCTTGGAACTCCAGAGGAGGAGAAACGAGCCCTCGATGGCTTTTTTTGGGGGGGGAGGGGGTGCCCCAAGGAGGAAGCGTTGGGCCAGGAACAGGGTGCATCATCTCAGCACCCAGCTTCCCCACTGTCCTCTTCCCCAGTGAAGGCATCTTCGCTCCTACTCTTTCTTTCTCTCTTTCTCTTACAAGTTTCCTTTCGTTTGCAATTTGAGAAATTCCCTAGTCGGGGTGGGGTGGTGGAGGAAATATTCTCATTTTTTTTCCCTGACATCTTAAGTCAACGAGGAAGAGAGTGGGAAGAGGAACAAATTGGTCAAACGGTGTTGGATGTGTGAAGAGATATATCTATATCTATATCTAACCTATATCTAACCTATATCTATATCTATATCTATATCTATATCTATATCTATAGCTATAGCTATAGCTATAGCTATAGCTCCCCACACTTCCACACCATTTGATCGATTTGTTTCTCTTCCCATTCTCTTCCTTCTTGCATATATATATATATATATATACCCACACATTCACGCCGTTTAACCTATTTGCTCTTCTTCCCATTCTCTTTCCATTCTTGCACACACACACACACACACACACATATATATAATGTATATATCTCCCCACACATCCACACCTTGACCGATTTACTTCTCTTCCCATTTTCTTCCTTATATATATATATATATATATATTCCACACATCCACACTTTTTGACCGATTTGCTCCTCTTCCCATCCTCTTCCCATTCTTGCTTATATTGCTTTGTATCGTAATCTATATCTCACCTTCATCGCTCCTTAAATAAAAAGGCGATTACAATACACACACGCACACGCGCACGCACACGTATGGAATCTATATTGTCCCCGTTCGGCCATAAAACCCACTGGGCGACCTTGGGCAAGTCACAATGTCTCAGCCTCAGGAGATGGCGATGGCAAACCTTCTCTGAAGAAACTTGCCAAGAAAACCCCATGAAGCCTTAAGGTCGCCATAAATCGGAAACGAGTTAAAAGCACACAAGACACACATTGCAATCTAGATAAAATCTGTCTACACACACACAGATTATATGCAGATTACTACACACACACACACATACACACACACACACACACACACACACACACACATATATATATATATATATATATATATATACAGAGAGAGAGAGAGAGAGAGAGAGAGACATATACTGTAATCCCCTTTTAGCTGCAAGAGCGATGCAGGTGACCTACAAATTACGATACAAAGCAATCTCTCTTTTCGAAAAGGAAACGACTCTCGACAGTCTAACAGGGGAGGCCTTCGATCTCCACAGTTTCTCAGTTTCTTTCGCCTCCCCCTAAAGTACGGCTATGAAAGAGGCAAGAAAGAAACCCTCTCCGCTTTCAGGTGATGCGTCGATCAGAGTTCCCACTCCCTTTGCAACCCTCTGCCTCCTTCCTTCCGAAGGACTCTGTCCTCTCGGTTTTAGGTTTAGGATCGCGCTGCGAGCATTTTAAGAAACCCTCCGACCGCGGAGACCTTTTTTCTGGGCCGCCTCAGACTCAAATCCCATTGAGATCAATGAGGCTTATTCCCAGGCAAGGGAATATTTAACCTTGCCAGCTTTGCTGGTGAATAAATTATCGTCTGCATAAAGAGATCTGAGTTTTTATTTCGAAGAAATCCTCGAGATCAGGCACCAGGGTGGCAAACTTTGCCTAGAGCTGGGTTTGTTTTTCATAAGGAGGGAGGTGAGAAACTGGGACTTGGGATCTGCACGGAGATTTTGGCCTTTTTTCCCTGTTTAATGGAACCACGCGTGGGCTTTTTTTCCCCCGTGGGTTGCGATCGGGCCTTTTTCCCCTGTTTAATGGAAAGAAAGGCAGACAGCAGCCCATGGCGGCGGCGAATTCAGCCCCCCAAAAAAAGAGAAGGAGGGAGAAAAAGAGAAAGAGAAGACTCTTCTTCTCTTTGCCTTTCAATGCTATTGCAGTTCAAGAAAATGAAAGGGAAAAAGGAGGGGATGGGGGGGATGGGAGGGATGGGAGGGAGGGAGAGGAAGACTCCAGATCAATATTGTCACCCTTGATGGGGAATTTATTAATATTTGATTTCAAATCTCGTCCCGGTTTCCGACAAGTCCTGCTCCGTGGATGGCACAGTTCGGCTCGGCTGTCTCCAACATGATTTTTTAATGACTTTCCCAGCTGCTTCTTTCCATTTTCCCCCGTCAAGAACCATCTGGTCTCTGATTAGCACCTCAATGCTCATTTAGCATTCTCATTTAGGGAAAGGAGAGAAGGTTTGGGGCACCGGGAAGATGGACGGAGGAGGGGGGCTGAGAGAGAGAGAATGAGAGAAAGAAGGAGCTTGAAAAATAGTCCAAGTGCCCCAAAACAAAAAAAGGTCTGGCCTTGGGAAGATCAGCCCCAGCTTTCAGAAACGCCTCCCTCCCTCCCTTCCTTCCTTGGGGAATCGATGCCCAAAAAACGCAGGACGACCTCCCCCCCCCACCCCCTTCACAAAACTGGAAAGATCTCCACCAAAAAGTCCACTTTCAGTTAGAAAACCCAAGCCTCAGATTCCTAACTTTTTGGCTGCTGAGCCTCCAAACGGCCAGACACTTCCTCCATTTAGGGAATACAGGTGATCCCTCCGAAGGAAAGAGTTCATTTCCATCCAGCGCCACAGAGCAGGAAGGTGCAGGGAGCCAGTTGAAATGGGCGTAGGCCTCGAGCCAATACATATAAAAATAAAAATAAAAATAAAAATAAAAATAAAAATAAAAGCAAAGCTTGAAAGTAAAATAAGAAAAGAAAAAGAAAAGAAAAAGCCTGCCCCATGCTCCTAGCCGAAATGCACGACCTGAGGAACTCTACTGGTAATTGGACTTTTCATAAAAGAGTGCGATCAACAGTTTAGAGCTTTTTTAAAAGTCAGTTTCTCACTCTTTCTCTCATTTAATGTAAATACATTGGCATGCTACTCGGTGCAAAGATCTTTTTTAAAAAAAATATGGACGGAAATTTAAAACATCTGAAAACCTTAGACACAACCAAGAAAACTATAACTCCTTTTTGGAAAGAACACACACACACACATCTCCTTAGTTCCCCCCCCCCTTTCTTTCTCATCCACTATCTACAGTAACACACTAGAATCAAAGAGGTCTTTTAAAAAATGTAAAAGTATATTATTCACTTGCAAACGGAATTCTTTAAAATTTGGTCCATCCATTCCCATCTATCTTAATCCACCAAATCTTTTGTCGATCAATCTATCAACTACATTGATGATTATTTTTTTTTTGCCTCCTGCTATTGGAAGCAGAGCAAAGAAGGCCCGATAATTATTTTGTGCAACCCTCAAAATCATTTGTGCAGGGAGCAGTGGTGATTTCATTTTGTTTATTAGACAAAAATATACGATTTAGACAAGTTTTTGCTGTGGCACTATTTACAATTTGAAATCACTTTATGTACAGAAGAAGAAAAGAAATAACACAAACACATGAGAATTTTTTTTTTTTTACCAAAACAAATAATCCAATCAGGGGGTTAGAATTACACATTCTGAAAAGGGAACAACAGAAAAGGGGAGAGTCCAGTTCAAGAGTTGCAAAATCTTTTTTTTTTCTTTTTTAAAAAGGGATTGGTATCTCCTTATTGCCAGAAAAAAAAAAATAGAGAGAGGTGGAAGTCATTTAGATAATTTCGAATTATTATTATTATGTCTTTAAACCAGTCTGTGAAAATTTCTTTTCCACCAGGAAAAAAAACTGAGAGAAAAAAGCACAACCCATTTAATCAAGCAGAAGGAAGTGTTGTTAAAATTCACGATGTTCCCTCTTGCTGAGTCAAAGAGCTGTTGGGAAGAAAAGACAAAAC